AGTTCGCAAACACCAATTGCTATACGACTGACAGGACACAAAGGATCTCCGACCGAGATACTGGAGCCCTCCAGACCTTGCACAAGCGCCTCGGCGCCTTCGTCCATCCTCAGCTGGATCAGACGCTGAGATCCAGCAATAAGTTCTAGAACTTTCGATTTATGTGGTTGTGGAGGTCGGAGATGTCCGCGTCCCTGTTGCAAGCCCTGCCAGCTGAGCTGTCTGGGGAACTCGGCCAGAACTCGCGAAGGCTATTGAGCGTCTCCAGTCAGCCCGCATGCAACTGAACAAGGCTGGGAAATCCTGCTGCTTCGCACGTTGAAGTCCTGCCATAATGCTGATTTGCTGACTGCAGAAAGGATGGGATTTCACCTTCAGTCGATTGCCGGCACTTCGAGACTTGGAGAATCTTCAGCTCTTCAGCTCAAGTCTCTGAAAGTGCCTAAAGGCACTCATGTTCAAAGCCAAGCTGGCCCCAGGTTTGCATCACTGCGTAATTAGAGACTGAGACGTACTCAGTGGTTGTTCGAAAAGTCGCTTCAGCGAGACTTGCATGCCGCAGAGGCACAGTCCGCAGTTGACCAAATCAAGCACCTCGGAGGTAGCGAATTGAGAATGCCAGACGCACGGCTTAAGAACAACTTCGTTCCTTGGACTCTAGCGCATACAGTCAAGCAAACCTTCACAAACATGAAAGTGCGTGTTAGACCACCGGCAGTATGAGAAAGAAAACCAATCACAGCTAGCTAGATTCACAGTCATCATCAACACATTTTCGCGACTATGGACCATGGGCAATCATCATAACAATAACACTACCGCCAGTGTGCTCTTAGCAAGACAGGAATGGCATGCTGCTGTTGCATGAATGATTGGTCTGAATCGCTGGCAATGCAAAGAGCAGAGCAAAACCTAACGCTGCTCACCGTAGTGGCCCGTGTCGGAAGCATAACACCCCAGCAGTACTTGCACCAGTACCTCAAATCATTGTCAAATCATGTTCACGATATGTAGACTGAGACTATACTGTAAGGTGGCCATGTCAAGTGCAGCAAGTGCATAATGCCAAGAAGTATGAGCAGTATGATGATAGTACTTAAGCAAAACGGGACATGCTGTCCAAGTCAGTACTTAGACATGCTGCACTGCAGCGGACAGGAGGCGAACACCAGCCCCACTGCTAACCCGAAAGCGGCCGCTGACGCAGCGGCTTCGGACTCTCTGCAATGAAACCACGTCGGGTTCAATGTGAGACACGGTACTGGTGTCGAAATGGTTGGAACGGGTTCTGCGCCTTGGGCATACTCTTTACATAACACACCAGCCATGATGCTGAAGCTGCAGGTCTGAATCTGACTGAAACTGAACCAAAACATCCAAACTCTGCAGAAGCTACATGGTGACAAGCTGTTCGCTGAAGCACTAGATCCTCCCTAATACAGTCAAGGAGCCTGCAATGTGCGATTGTTGCGCAGCATGTCAGCCAGGATAACTGCCAAGTGTCTCTTACTTGTCGGGGCCAATCAAGAGCATTGGCATGATTTCAAGCGCAGGTAAGGTGCGCAGAGTCAGAGGTGTAGGGCGGATCGAATTTATTGAGCGTCCATGAACTATGTCTCTGTATATAGGCCGGTTCGCTACAATCAATGCTCCTGAGCTGCTAGATGTGCACAGAGAGAGAGAGAGAGAGAGAGAGAGAGAGAGAAAGACAGACAGAACAAACCACTCAGGAATGCAGACACAGACACACGTAAGATCACGTAAGTGTGTGTGCGCGCGTGTGTGTGTGTGCGTGTGTATATGTGTATGTGACAAGCATTTCAATAGGATGACCGGCGGATATGTCGTGCCTAAGCATCCAGCAACGGGACAAACACCCGCAATCGTGACTACAGCTGGAATTTGGAGCGTAGTTCTGTGAATTGAACGACTAGCGAGCTACTGACATACTCATGTCCCGCTTCTTGTGCGATAAGTAGAGCGAGATTTCAACAGATTCACACACACACACATCAGACAGGAAAAGCTCACATCACATCATCACATGATAGAGCTAAGTCGATCATATAATACCTGAATTCGGCACTCTGCCGGCATCGACTGACGGAACGACGAAACACCACAGAATACAACAGTGGAACATCGCTCCAGGGCTACACTTATCAGAGTATTTTCCGATACTTGTCCAATACCAACCCCGCGATGGGTTTTCCGCTCGAGAGCCACCGCAAGGGATCGGGTTAATCATACATGTGCTGCGTGACTCCGTGGGCTTGCGGGTGAACTGCTGTACCTGGATGCCGGTGAATACTTTGCAATTCTTGAATTTCCGCCCAGAGCCCAAATCTCCGAGTAATCTATAGGAGAAAGATATGTATGGGGCTTCTATGTGTGTCCAGGAGACTAAAGCAGTACCCATAGAAGAAGTCTATGGGAGAAAATGTAGCAATGTAGGAGCTTAGGTCTGTGGGTGCAAATGCAGCTAGTACCAACAGAAGTGTTGAAAGCAGAGGCCACGTTTAATGGACCCTCTTACGTCCTGGATCAGCCCGTGCACCTGCGCCCTCTTTGTGAAGAGGATTTCGCTTCAGCCACAGCTGCTGGACGGTCTTGTCGTCTGATCAGGAACATCAAAGGGGTAGTTCAGACTGGATATACTTCTACGAACTCAGTGTATCGAAATAGAGGTACCTATATCTTTGAAGCTTGGAAGTGCTGGGTCCCTCATCACTGACTCGGAACTGGGAACGTTACATTTACATGCCACGAAACCACAGGCAGGGTATAGTGAGCAATTGGTTTTTGAAGGCAAGCTGTTTGCAAGACTCATCAAGCAGGACTAGTCTGAGGCCTCGACGGGCGGGGAGCTATCGTGGGCTTTGCTGCGTGGGCTTTGCTGTCCGAAAATGAGCTCATGCTTCCAGCAGGTATGCTCGGCTACACCGGACCAATCCAAACAAGGTACACCGCACAATATGCTGAACAATTAGATCGCACTCGGGCTTGGCGTTCCAGATTTCGGTGCGTCGGGTTGAGGCCCTGCTGTGTTCATCATGTCACACATGCTTACAACCTCAACGCCAAAGCCTCGGAGGACGTCACAAAGCGGCTTCAGCCCCTCGGCCGTAATGCGGTTTCCGGCGATGTACCAGGTGTTCAGGGAAACCTGTCGGAAGTCTGCGCCCCAGCTATACTGTTTATTTCAGGAGGCAGGTGAGTGTGCTCGGATGGGGGCCTCGTTTTGCAACATCTACTGGTTCGAGCACAACAGGCTCTGACCCTAAACAGCAGGTGAGTTTATCAAGACGGATGACGACTACCGGAGAACTCAAGGTGGACATACATACGACTAGCGCTTTCTTGACGACCTCACTATCTTGCGCATCACTAGCCTTAAGTGTCGGTCTTCTGTTTGGGCCCGAACAGGTCGCAAAATCTGGGCGTTGCTGTGGAGTGTCGAAGTTCCGGGCCGAGTTTAGGGCCTCGGCAGTCAAAAGTGGCCTGTCTGTAGCACTCCCTCCTGTAGTCGCCAAAGCCCAGCCTCTGATCTCGCACCTCTTGTATATACTATCATCTCGAATGAAGCTCACAAAACTGCAGGAACAACGATGTCGCTTCGAGGCACCACAACACGTGTCGTAATGGGGCACTCTTGTGGCAATTAAAACCACTCGCCGTCAACAGAGAGTTCTCAAACATGTCTCGGCTGAACCCAGTCTTTGCCACTCAAGCTACAAGTACATGACAAGCAGACAGCCTTGCCCTCGCGAATGAGGTCTGCAATGCGATTCGGCAAATTGTTGCCACCTCCGTGCCGTGGTCGGAGCTGAGCATCAATAATCTGTCGTGATATGTGGGTTTGTGGGCTTATGGAGTATCGGTCGGCGATTATATCAAGGTACCCGATTCTGCTCGAAGCTCCTGCAACTGCAAAAATCGACGGCAGATTTGTCAGCCGCTTGACGGGCTTTTCGAAGGGCTTACGGTTAGACCTGCTGCTGATACTACTAGTACTACTACGACTACGACTACGACTACGACGACGACGACTACTACTACTCTTTAACTCCACCTGGTGTTGCTACTGCTGCTGCTGCTCATGCAGCTTCATCTGCTTCTACTGCTAGCATGGCTGCGGCTATGGCCACGGCCACGGCCCGTCGCGACACTACGCTGCTACTGCTGCTCTTGTGGCTGCAACTGCTACCACTACTACCACTACTACCACTACCAGACTACCAGACTACCAGACTACCAGACTACCAGAACCACTACTACTACTACTACTACTACGGCTACCACGACTAGCACGACTACTACTATCACGACTATTACTATCACGACGACAACAACAACAACACCAGCA